TGCTCCATTCCTGGGAGTGTTCCAGGCCAGGCTGGATGGGGCTTGGAGCAACCTGGGCTGGTGGAAGGTGTCCCTGTCCATGACAGAGGAGTGGAATGAGATAAGCTTTAACATCCTTCCAACCCAGACCATTCTGGGACTCTATGATTCTATAAATGTTCTGTTTTCTGCTCCCAAATCCATGTCCCCAGTGCTGGGCTGGTTGCAGTGAGGACTCCACCACCATCCCCTGTGCATCCCATCCCTGGCAGAGGTCTGGTCCTGCACCCCAGGCTTTTGGAGACTTACACATTAACCCCATGGAAAACTGAGCCCCACAGCCCAACCTGTCACCCCCTAGTCCTGATCAGGGTCCTGTTGGGGGTTCAGTGCCCAGCTCAGGTGGGCACAGATGCAGCCAGGACCATGTGTTGGGGTTTTTTTTGCAGGTGAAGATTTTGTGCAATGAGTTACTGGTGCAGGTGTGTGACCTCCTGAGGCTGAAGGACTGTCACCTCTTTGGGCTCAGCGTCATCCAGAGTAAGTCAGGGGCTTACACCATGGGTTCATCTGCACCCAGAGGTGGGTGCAGAGTCACCCAGACCTTTGGTGGCCTCTTTGGGTGACGAGGAGGTTACAGAGCTACTGATGGGTTGGTGGGGCCAGGGCAGGACTTGGTGGAATACAGAGGACACACAGGGGGATGCTGATGCCACCTCTGTCCCACCCAGACAATGAGCACGTGTACATGGACCTGGCCCAGAAACTCTACAAGTACTGCCCCAAGGAGTGGAAGAAGGAGGCCAGCAAGGTCAGCGGTGAGGTCTTGCATGGAGAGCTGACGGCAGTAAAGCCACCTCTGTCCCCGTCGCAGGTCACTTCCAGGACCCGGGAATGCAGCTGAGGGGTGGGAAGGGCATTTAGCCAGCCTGGGGCTGGGGGTGGGTGTGCAGAACCTGAATGAAACCCAAGTCTTGCTTGATGGTTGTCACTCTGAATGCCACCATATGTCCCAGCTGGGGATGAATCCTCCATGCTTCACCCCTGGAGCTGTGATTTTTTTCCTTTCCCTTATACTTCAGAAGAATTTTTAAGGTCCCCTTTTTCCAGTTTCTAAATTCAATGTGGGTGTTTTTCTGCCCAGAAAGCACCTTCTCATTATTTCAGTGCCATGTGCCAAGAGGTCGATGTCAAGGCTCCAGTGCCGGCACTGAGGCAACTGGTAGATGATGGATTGGGAGAAAGACAGAAGCAGTGGGGGGATGCAGACCCCCTGGGGGTCTCAAACTCAGTCACCTGCTTCTTTAAATCCAAAACCCCTTTGTATTCCTGCATTTTGGGGGAAAAATGGAGTCAAACTCTTAATTCAGGGAAAAATTGCCATCGGTGTTAACGAGTGAACTCACCTATGGTGGGCAAGGGTGATGGACATGACCCCAGTGAGCTGAGGTGAGGGACTGGGGCACAATTCCAGGGTCTCCACAGGAGTCCTGAAAATCTCCTCCATTCCAGGGTATCGACCAGTTTGGCCCCCCAATGATCATTCACTTCCGAGTGCAGTACTACGTGGAAAACGGGAGGCTCATCAGGTAGGGTACACCCACCTGTCCCTTCCCACCCCACCAGTGTTGGTGTGCAGCCTTGGGATGCTGTGGGATGCTGTTCACATCCCAAAAGCTGGGTCTGGTTGGGGGTGGGTGCTGAGTGGCTTCTCCTGCCACATGCCACTGCTCCCAGCCAGCGATGACAAAGCCTTTCTGGGGATTGGGGATGTTGTTATTTGGGGTTTTATCAGAGCTTAACCTGGGGCACAGCCTGATTTTAACTCATCTGTTTGCTTGTGGCTGGGTGGGACTTTCAGGACTTGTTTCTGGGAGAAAAGTGATTTTCAGGGGTTTGGGGGCACCTGCAGCCCCATGGGGATGCTTTGGTGGGATCATTCCACCTGGCTGGAAACCTCAGCACAAGATTTACACTGCTGAATGGGAATTCTGCCTTTAATAAATGAGGAAGCAACTCAGGTTGTGGCTGCCCCAACCCTGGCAGTGTTCAAAGCCAGGTTGGATAAAGCCTTGAACAACCTGCTCTGGTGGGAGGTGTCCCTGCCCAGGGCAGGGGGTGGCACTGGATTATCCCTAAACTCCCATTCCAACCCGTTAATACTATGATAGTATGAAGAGGGAGCAAACAACTTGGCACCCAGCCCTGCTCCCTCCCTAAGAGCTTCCCAGTGGGAGGAAGGTGCTGGAGTTGTCTCCCACCCCTTGGTTTTGGCCATGGGTGGGGGTCCCTGTGGCTCCTCTCTCCTCTTGCTCTCCTGTGCTCCACAGTGACCGCACCGCGCGCTACTACTACTACTGGCACCTGCGGAAGCAGGTGCTGCACTCGCAGTGTGTGCTGAGGGAGGAGGCTTATTTTCTCCTCACTGCCTTCGCCCTCCAAGCTGACCTCGGAGACTTTAAGAGGAACAAGCACTGTGGGAAGTACTTCGATCCTGAAGCCTATTTCCCCTCCTGGGTAAGCATCCCCTGCTCTAAGCGTGAGTGAATCCCGAAGCTGCTTGGAGGCTTCCCAGGCTGCATCCCTGTCTCTGGCTTAATCCTGGTTATTAATAGCCTGGGACAAGTATGGGGCTGGAAATAGCTGTGGGCAGGGAGGGTTGGGGCTGGGGGGGGCTGGGGTAGCTCATCCACTGAAGGGGTTTCCCCATGTGCTTCAGGGATGTGCGTGGGAGATTCCCTGCATGGCATGTGCCACCATGGAATCATCCCACCACCATCAGGGGCAGCTCCTCAGGTTTTGCAGCCCTTTGGGAGTTGGTGCCATAATAGAGTCCCGTCCCAGAGTGGTTTGGGTTGGAAGGGACATTAAAGCTCATCCAGTTCTACCCTTTGCCATGGGCAGGGATACATTCCACTAGCCCAGGTTGCTCCAGGCCCCGTCCAACCTGGCCTGGAATACTTCCAGGCATGGAGCAGCCACAGCTTCTTTGGGCAACCTGTGCCAGTGCCTCAGCACCCTCACAGGCAAAATTTTCTTCCATATATCCAACCTCATTTTCCCCTCTTTCAGTCTGAACCCATTCCTCCTTGCCCTGTTCCTCTAGGCCCTTGTCCCTCTCCAGCAGTCTTGGAGCCCCTTGAGGCACTGGAAGGTGCTCCAAGGTCTCCCTGGGGCCTTTTATTTCTCCTTTGCAACCTCTTTCTTGGTTTTGTCCCAAGATCTGCCAGCTTCTCTTTTTCTCACACATGTCACTAAGGAGTGACAACGCTTGGGCTATGTCCCCAGCCATACAAGAAACCTCTGTATGGCTCTGCCTGTCCCAGCATGGGTATCACCAGTAGTGTAAACTCCACTGGATGGGCTCATGGAGCACACACAATTACCAGTGGGAAATCCTGCTGGTAAAGTCATTGGCTGCTGTATCTATTTTATATTTGCTTGCAGGTGTCTGTAACAAAACATATTGCTCCAACTTCCCTTTTTCCCTTGAAATCACCACTGCCCAGGAACGCCAGGGGTGGCATCCAGCCCTGAGCAGGCACAGAGCAGCTGGACAAACTTCTCTCTCCTCCAAACAGGTGGTTGCAAAGAGGGGCAAGGACTATATCCTGAAGCACGTCCCCAACATGCACAAAGACCAGGTTGCCCTGACAGCCTCTGAAGCCCATCTCAAGTACATTAAGGAGGCTGTCCGGCTCGATGATGTGGCTGTGCACTACTACAGGTTGTACAAGGTGAGCCCTGGCCATGTGGTTCCTGGGATCTTTTGGGAATGCCCTCCCTGGATTTTTGTCCTGGGAACAGAGCGGTTTCTTTGCTAGGAGATGTTGTTTCACAAACCACTTTGTAGCGTCCTGAAGTTAAGAAAGAGAAGCTTTTGGGAGAGCACAAGGTGCTGTCATGGAACCATAGAGTGGTTTGGGGTGGAAGGACCTTAAAGCTCATATCATTCCACCCCCTGCCATGGGCAGGGACACCTTCCACTAGCCCAGGTTGCTCCAAGCCCCATGCAACCTCTCCTTGAGGCAGCAGGGTGAGTCCCAGAGTGGTTTGGGTTGGAAGGGACATTAAAGCTCATCCAGTTCTACCCTTTGCCATGGGCAGGGATACATTCCACTAGCCCAGGGTGCTCCAAGCCCCATCCAACCTGGCCTGGAACACTCCCAGGGATGGAGCAGCCACAGCTTCTCTGGGCAACCTGTGCCAGTGCCTCACCACCCTTAGAGTATGATTTTATGATCACTGTGGCACTTTAATCATGGAATGGTGACTGGGGTGTCTGCAGGAGGATACCTGGGGCGGATTTGTCCACTTCATGCTGCAAATTGTGTATTTAAAACCATCTCATTTTTCCCTCCTTAGGACAAAAGGGAAGTGGAGGCCTCCCTGACACTGGGGCTGACAACACGAGGCATCCAGATCTTCCAGGTAAGTGGCTGAGCATGGATGGTGGGTCAGTTCTGCTTCCTGTCCCTTCCAGGATCCTCAGTTGGGCTCCCTCTCCTCTTTTTGCAGAACTTGGATGAGGAGAAGCAGCTGCTCTACGACTTCCCTTGGACAAATGTGGGGAAACTGGTGTTTGTGGTGAGTGCCACCATCTACACATGGAGCACTGTGTCCAGCCTTGGGGTCAGCACAGAAAGAACATGGCCCCATTGGAGTGGATCTAGAGGAGGTCATGGGGATGCTCTAATGGCTGGAGCACCTCTGCTCTGGAGCCAGGCTGAGACAGCTGGGGCTGTTCTGCCTGGAGAAGTGAAGGCTCCAGAGAGATCTCAGCCCCTTCCAGTGCCAAAAGGGGTTCCAAGAGAGCTCCAGAGGGACTTGGAACAAGGGCCTGGAGTGACAAGACAAGAGGGAATGGCTTCCCAGTGCAGAGGGCAGGGGTAGATGGGATCTTGGGAAGAGTGATGAGGCACTGGCATAGGTTGCCCAGAGAAGCTGTGGCTGCTCCATCCCTGGGAGTGTTCCAGGCCAGGTTGGATGGGGCTTGGAGCACCCTGGGC